AGAGAGATTGTAACATTGTATAAATCCTCAGATACAGCATTGCCTAGAGACCCTTGTACTTCCCAGTTTCATTAGGTAGCAAACTACCACTTCTTCTTAAGTTAATAACGAGTTTCAACCCTTGCAATCAAAGGTGTCCTGAGTAATAGCCAGGGACTGGGGGAGGGCTGGCATCTAGGCCTTGGTTAATGGAGAATCGTGTCATCCTAGAGCCAAAGGGATCTCCATGGCCACCTGGCGCCCCACTGCCTTCAGATGGTCAGTGTGTGGCCCATCCTGAAGGAGGTGTCACCAACACCAGTCAGAAGGGACCTTCCATTTGTTGAGCATCTGCCACGTGACAGACAGTGTCTTCATTTGCAGACCTTTCTTCACTATTCACAGGGAGGAGTGGGCCTTAGTAATCTGCTTTACAGACCAGGAGAGCCGGGTTCAGACAGGTTAGGGAATTAGTCTGAGGTCTACGGGATGCAGGTTTGTGTCCAGCTCAACGTGTCTCTTAAGGCCCATGCTCTTGGGTCCAGGGTACCATCCCGCCTCACACTCTGTGACCGGGGCCTTCGTGTCCAGCAGAGGAGTGACATATCCCAGTTTCCCTTCCAAATCTTCTGTGGAGTATAATATAAGAAAGCTATCTGGTGCTTCCGAAGACGTGTTGGCAGGACCAGCGACGTAATTTGTGGGGCTCAGTGCAGAATGAAAATGTAAGGCTCCATGTTCAGAAATGATTAAAAATTCTAAGACAGTGACGTCTGAGTATTAAACAAAGGTGCCAGGCCCTTCTGAGTGTGGGGCCCTGTGTAACTGCACAGGCTTCACACTTACAAAGCCTGCCCTGCCTTTTTTTTTTCTTTTAAGACTTTTTATTGATTTTCAGAGAAAGAGAAGAAGTGAGAGGTAGAAACATCAATGTGAAAAACATTGATCAGTTGCCCCCTTCATGCCCCCTGCCCTGGATCAAGCTCAAGACCCAGCCATATATCCCGACCAGGAATCGAACTGGCAACCTTTCAGTGCATGGGATGACGCCCAACTAACGGAGCCACACGGCCAGAGCACCCGCCCTGCTTTTTGATGCAAGTCCGGAAGGGGTGGTTGTCTGAGTGTGGGAATGCAGGTAATCTCGGAGAGGTAAATGGTGTCCGTGCTTTTCATTAGAAGGATATGGAGGCCTCAGGAAGTGAGGCGGACTTGAACCAGAACAGCAGAAATCTCGTATTAACAGACTGATTCATATAATGTTCTGGATGTCCTCTCAGCCTCATCAGTGCAGACAACTATTACAACTGACAAATTGAAATAGAGACACAGGCCGTGAGTTGTGCCCCACCGGGGGCCTGTCCAGCTGGGGTCGCCCTTGCTGAGGTGGTGCTGGCAGCGCTGCCTCTTGCCCACAGGGATACTTTTCCTCATTTGCACAAAGATGCTGCCCGGGCTTGCAGGTGCCACGTGGAGACTTGCTTGGGATCACCTGGCAAGAGAAGAAGTGAGAGGTAGAAACATCAATGTGAGAAACATCGATCAGTTGCCCCCTGCATGCCCCCTGCCCGGGAACAAGCTCAAGACCCAGCCATATATCCCAACCAGGGATCGAACTGGCAACCTTTCAGTGCATGGGATGATGCCCAACTAACGGAGCCACACGGCCAGGGCACCCGCCCTGCTTTTTGATGCAAGG